GTTCGAAGGGCATCCCGATCCAGGAAAGGGCGTAACTGATGCACAACCCGAAGTTGTGCAATGGCCCTCCTTGTCACAGCTGCCACCTGCTGTTCAAGCAGGAGCCGTGAGTCTAGGAGGACCCCCAGACTGCACTGGGTCTGTCTGGGGGAGTGCCATCCCATCCAGCACCAAAGATGACAAAATCCCGGATACAGAGGCGCCCTTAACCCACAGCCACTCCATCTTACCAGGGTTCAGCCGAAGCCTGTTGTTCCCCATCCAGACCCTTACAGCCTCCAGGCACCGCGAAAGGGTGGCCACAGCTGTCTCAGTCTGGAAAAATACATTGGGAGGTATATACAGTATGGGTATTGTATATACGGTGGGCATTGTATTTTCCTTCATCCCTTCAGAGAATAACCCAGTCTTCCCTTCTGCACTGTTTTCTGCTCAGCTACATAAGAAACTGTGTTTTATGATTATGGCCAAGAAAGAAAGTAACGTCTTGAATTGAGAGTGGTTTATCGTTTCAGCAAAATTGCTCACATAATTGAATTATGTTTGATAGGAGAATGAGATTTTGACAGAACAAGAAGAGCTGCTAACAATGGAACAGTTCTTGCGTCGACAAATTGCGTCTGAAAAGGAGGAAATAGATCGTCTCCGAGCAGAAATAGCAGAAATTCAAAGGTAACCCAACTTCAGCTTGAGGACTAACCAGTGGTTGGAAATTCCAGCTAAACATTAGAAGAAAGTTCCTTACAGTGTATCTTGTGACTGCCTAGGGAAGTGGTGGGTTCTCCCTGAATATATTAAAACTGAGCCTGGAAAGTTCGTCAGGGAATATTACAGCACAGCCTTTCCCATCTTGGCACCTTTCAGATATGTTGGGATTACAAGTTTGAGGCCAAGGCCATGTTAAGTGGAAGTTCTAAGAGTCGTAGTAGTAGCAACACATCTGGAGGACATCCAGTTGGAGAAAGCTGTTATGATAGCGTATTGTGGATCCTGAAAGGAACATGGGGTTGGACTAGGTGGTCTTCCCAGTCCTTTTCAGCCAAGATTCTATGATACTAAACTTACTGAATTTAACACTTCAAATGTTTCACCAGAACAGTTACAATGGATAAACTTTTATGTTACGTTGCAACTCTTCTCTGTGCATTCAAATTCATGAAACTGTGTTTTGGAATGTGTTCATTGTGTCAGTGTGAATATCCTTTAAAAATGTATAGCAAATAAACCAATAGTGATACATGTTACAGAAATCTTTACTTGTACATCTAGTCGCCAGCATGGTCGCAGTGAAACTGAAGAATATTCTTCTGAGAGTGAGAGTGAGAGTGAAGATGAAGAAGAGCTACAGATAATCTTAGAAGACTTGCAACGGCAGAATGAAGAACTAGAGGTGAGACGGCATTCTGTGCAGTAGATGTTCAGTGAGTTTTTTTATTCAGGCATGGGAAAATATGATGGCGCATATCACAAAAAGGGAAATTTGAATTAAATAGGAAGAACTTCCTAATATTAAAAGTTACTTAACTAGAGAGTAGCATGTCTTAGAAAGTGGCAGCCCCTCCTTTGTTAGAGGTCATCTACCAAATACTGTAGTAGCAGATTTCCTACTTCGTCATTCGGTTGGATTAGATGAGTTTTGTGGTATTTTCCAAATTTATAGTTCTGTGACCAGTGTGTAGTAGAGAAATTAGTATTCTGTCTTATATTAAGTCAGACCATTCATCTATCCTGCCCAGACCTAGCTCTGTATTTTGATACTGAGTTTATCTAGAGTTTAGATGGAACTTTCCCAGGCTTATCTGGAGATGGCTGGACTCCGCCTGGGATCTTGTGCATGCAAAACACGTGCTCTGCCACTGAACTTTAGCTGTCTGTGTGCCCTGTAGAAACAAACAAGACTTCCTGCAAACTGCTTTTACTCATTACTTTGGAGTAGAGTCCACTGAATTCCCTACAATTTCTTATGTAGAATAGCATTGTTCTTGTCACCTCTGCTAACCCTTTTCTGGTTGATTAAAATCCTTAGATAACAAGAATGAAAGAGTTAGGAGTATGACTGTTGAAGGAATATATAATATGTAGGTTAAACATTGCAACCTTTTACTAAGCAGGCAAAGGTTTATTTTTATTAAAAATGTTACGAATAAATAGTTCATAACAGTTAAGAAGAGATTAGCAGTTAGTTCATAAGTTAAGAAATCTTCAATGGGTGCCATTCAATCTTATATTTGTAGATGTGCTTACATAGTGGGATTTCTTTTCTGCCTCTCCCTCTATCAGTAGATTTGCAGGAGACAAAGGGAAGGGAAACCAGTTTGGTTAGCAGATGCTTCTGTAAACAGACTCTGTAAATGCAAGCTAGCATTCATGGTTTTCAGGATCAAACCATTGGGGAAATTTTTAAAGCAAAAAAGAGAAAACAATAGTAAAAACTCTTCTTTATGAGATTTTGTTATAACAGCATATTTTAAATGAATGAGCACCAGTAGTACAGTAAAGAGAGAAATGATATTTTTGAGTAAGAACTGATTTTTTTACATTTAATAAAACAGTGAAATAAATTTAAAAATGGGGAAAGATGGTCAATTGAAACTAAAGCACTGAATTGTATTATTTTCACATAAATGTAGCAAATTAATTACTCACAATTTAGACAGTCTTTATTATATTTGCCCTGCTGCAATCGTTTTATAAATAAAAAAATTATGAGTTAGTGTGAGTGTGACATTCTCATGGTCCACAATGATTTTGTGGTAGAGATGTCGTCTGGACATAAATACTTCATGGAAAGCTCACTACTAGGACTAAGACTGGCTCCTGTAATAGTTTCCATGCAATTTATAATTTTATTTAAGAACCAAAATACATTTCTCAGAATTCTGGCTTTGAAATTCACACTTTAAAAGTGATACTAGAGCTGAGCTATGTTTAACCCACCACAGTCTTCCATGTAATAGAAGAAATGTAATACAACAAAAATAATTGGAAGAGTATGTTAATCTTTTAAATTTGTGCCAGCCTGTTTTCCACAGTGTCTTTTTCTTTCACAGTAGTTTTTTAAAAATTTTTTAAAAGGACATTCTGGGGGAAAAAAATGCCAACACTGGTCCATGTCACCCATCCAGGAAGTTTCATCAGATTTCTGTGGGTTTCCTGATTAACCCTCACATTGAAGAAGTTTTCCTGTATTTCCAGTGAAGGCATTCCATATTGCTTCTCTACTATTTAATAAACTCTCCCAATTAGATGAAATATAGAATATTGTTCAGATAGAGGCTTCCTGTTTCAGTTAAAGCATATGAATTGAAATAGTTTTTTTCTTTGATTCTTAGAATAGATCAAGTGTCACAGAAAACTGTCTAACCTGAAGGGTTGCCCAAAAATAAACTCTCTGCAATTTAACTCTTTAAAATTGGCAGTAAAAGCAATATATAGCAATACATAATACACAAAAGCACTGACAACCACTTTGCAGAATGCTTAATTTATTTCAACAATCTTTACAGCAGCCTGAAAAATTGACCAATATCATTGCCCCCTTATTACAGCTGGAATAAAAGCTAAAGAGAGTGGTTTCACTAAGCCTATGTAGTCTGCTGTTGTGCCTTTACATCCCTAAGAGTCAACCCCTCTGAACTCAATAAATCTTGGGGTAGACATGGATGCAACAGTGCAAGCTTGTGAGTTAATGGCCAAGGTGTGATGTGGAGAGCCACTTCATATCCTATTAATCAGATCTCTCCTAACTTCTATTGAGGGATAAATTCCCCAACTAAAGTGTAAATAAAAGAGTTCCTTTTTAAGCATACTATTTCAAAAATGGATATTTATGAATAGTTTTTAATATTTAACAGTTACTAAGATCTGTGAGGAAGGCTGGGGGAGGAAGGAGTGTATCTTATGTTGCTTTTGAATCTGCCATTGTAAATTGTTCATTTCTGCTGGGGCTGGATTTTCCGAGTGCCTCCTTCCTCGTTTTGTTCTGTCGGATGAGACCCCGCTTGTCTCCCTTCCAAGAGAGAGCTGCAGTGAGGAATACCTTATTAATGATTCATTAGCTCCATCAGTAGCTGGCTGTGTAAAGCTCAAGTGACCCTTTTTCCCCTTTTGCTGGCTCAAGGTTAAGAATAACCATCTGAACCAAGCAATTCATGAGGAGCGCGAGGCCATCATTGAACTGCGAGTTCAGCTTCGCCTGTTGCAGATGCAGCGAGCCAAAACAGAGCAGCAGGTGCAGGAAGAGGAAGAGGTTGAGAAACGAGGGGGCCCAATGCAGCAGCAGCCACCCCTGCCAAGAGACACTGTCTCAGAGACAAAAGCTATGAAAGAGCAGCCAAAGGCAATCCAGGAGCCAGTGAAGCCATCTCCAAGCAAGGACAGAAAGGAAACTCCAATTTAATTGGATTTCTGAGCATTCGGATTCTTGCCTGTGCGAAGCCAGGACTGTGCAACTTACTGTAAATCTGTGGCTTGTATATTCTGTAAATAGGTTCTCTTTTACATTCTGGGGATATTTTTGTCTCCGTCCTATACGTGTGGCTTCTGCCTATCAGGCTCAGGTTACTTGGAAAGATAAAGCAGTTAGAGAGAGAGACAAGGCAGGAGAGGTTACTCAGCCTGTCAGACATTAGCTTTGGCTGATCTTTGTGAGTTGAGGGGGTGATGGTATATTTTAAAATGATTATATACTCACTGTGGAGCAGACTTTCAAATTCTCTCATGCATTATCTGTCCAAGGGCTACTTCATACGAGATATTTCATTGCACAGATGTAGGAAAAAGTGCATACTCTGCTGGGCGTTTTACAATGTATCTGGTAGTTCTTGATCACCAGAAATTTCAGGTAGAGGTAGAGAAGGTTGGAATAGAGGGACATATTTCCCCCTCCTCTCTGTCCATTTGGTCATCTTTCTGGCCACACAATATTCAGAAGACCATATTTCTCTCTGAGCAGCACCAAAACCAACAGGTTGGCAGAGGAGGGGAAAGTGCTCCATGGCCCCTCTCTGTGCCATTTGGTAGTAGTCTAATTTAAAAGGAAGTTTGATAAGAAGCATTTCCACTCTGGTTTTGAAAAGGAACTTCCTCTTAGCATAGAGATGGCTTTTGTGAGATTATTTACAAGGCTGATACACCTCTGTCAGTCCAGATGTCTGTTAAGTGTTTATAGAAAAGCCACAGTTGGCACAGCAAAATAGATGTTTGCAAGTGTGTTCCACAGTGGTCCATGCTTTTCTGTGTGGGGGTGAAGAAACTGTATTGAATGTGACTGTTGGCTAAGAATGGGGAGATCCAATCCATATCCCATTCATCTACTTGCTTTGTAACTTTTTACTGTCATTCCTCATAATTGTTTTTATTCACTCTTACTTGTGCCTTTCAGTAACAAAGGAGCTTTACAAAGTAGATGTGCCCGAAACAGTGGAAGGTCTTCAAATGCAAAACTTTAGTATTATGTAACATGTTCTTTTCATCTGACTTTTTTAAAGCTTTATGAAAGTACATGTAAAACTAAGCTGAAAAGATTGATAAGCACATATCCATAAGTCAAAGCTTATCCACTAAGATCTCTTGAACCCTGTCAATGCACTTAAGTATAAAACTGATTAATGGAGAATGTCAATTAATTAGAAGAAAGAATGGAAGCGCTGTGTAGGTTTATAGCAAACCTCATTTGCTGACCTTTCTTTCTTTCTTTCTTTCTTTCTTTCTTTCTTTCTTTCTTTCTTTCTTTCTTTCTTTCTTTCTTTCTTTCTTTCTTTCTTTCTTTCTTTCTTTCTTTCAATAATTTAAAGAAATTAGTGAATATTGCTGTTAGCCAGCTTAAAATCTGTAATTGTCAAGGGCCTACAGTTTAGGGAAAGGAGTTGGGGGTGATTTTTGTTGCACGCTTTCTTTGATGGATTAAGAGCACTTTGAAGTATAGTGCAACACAGAAGTGCACCAGCCTCCATCTGGATCTTGGAACTGGGGTGAATGATAAAAAAAAACCATATTGGCCATTTTAGTGAGCTTGAAAGAAGTATTATATTCAGAAAGGGCTCCAAAATTGTTCTAGAACTTGTACTGGTTTCTGGCATAAGCGCTTTGGAGCACAGTGCAATGGAGGGGAGAAGGTCCATCTTTCAAGCTCTTCTTTGTGTTCACTAAAAGGCAGTCGGGAGCGTATCTGTGAACTTTTGTGTGCTTAAAATGGGATGATTCCAAAAATAAAAATAAAAATTGTCATCCTAAAGCTGGTAATATATACCCATAAATTCATGATGGAAAGGTCCAGCTGCCTTATGCTTAATTAGTTACCATTGCCAGCAGTGAATTATTACGAGTAAATTGTGGCTTTTCAGAGCCACATCATTTAAAATCCCAATTCAATTTGAAGTGGTTGATGTTAATTGAACTCCACAGGGTGCTTGTAGCTTATTTAGTTTCTGTCTGTAATATTTATTTTTTATGTGGTGGTTTTCTTTGCCTATTGCACTGTTGTGAATCATTGGCCATGATTTAATGTTTGTACAAATAACACTGAGATGCATTCTAAAGAACGGCTTATTTTTTTTAAAACCTAAAAGAAAATTTATGGAGGTTGATCAGATAACAGTTGTATGTGCATTTTTTTTTTTTTTGGCCTGTTACATACGTTTTATATTTTCTGACAGTATTTAAACCTTTTTGTTCTGAATTCATACTAATTTCTATTACACTGTCAAACTTTTATAATCAATGTTCATCAAATATCTTGATATTGGTTAATTTTTGTCAAGAACATGTTAATCAAGGAAATAAATTCAACAGCCATATGCCAATGGTTTTATTGAATTAAAAATGTTAAGATTCACAAATAAATTGTTTCTCTGGCTCACATTCAAAGCCCTGATTCAGTAATAATTGGCTGAATGAGATGTTTGTATTTAATAAATGCAGTTCTACCAAAAAAAGCTACAAGGAGCAGCAGAAGATTACTACTTGTGGTTCTTTCTGGCCCACATTTCTGGACTGTAGTGTGGGATTCTTCAATCTAATCAAGAATCAGAGTCACTGTCTCTGGCAGAAAATGGTTAACTAATGAGGGAATGCAGTTGAAAAGATCCTTTTTGGATACAAAATACCTATTCGCAAATTGAGTGCAAAGGATTTCTGGAATGGTCACAACAACCTGATTTGAACTTGACTCAAAACATCGTAAGCTCAAAATGTTCTGGATTCCAAATGTTTTGTGCACCCCGTTGGACAGAAAGCAGCTCGGCAATGAGACTTAAATTGGTATTCATCCCCACTTCCATCTTTCAATTTTCTGATATAGATCAGTAGATGGGACGTTTACCCTATCTACACTTCAAAATTGAGTGCCCTACTGGTTTCTTCTGCCATCATAAACTGGTTTATGTTGTCCAAGTCTGACAGCAGAATCCGTTTTCCACATTTCAAATTTTTATGTGCTGCTTTTGTCATGGCAGAATGATCTGGAAGAGAACAACAATCTTGTTGCTGTTTCGTCCAGTTTCTGAAGGTAGCCTGTATTTTCATTAGGAACTTCTTATACTATGGAAAATAAATACTTCCCCCATGTCATTCTTTGGTGTATATAGTGTTCCAACCATGTTTTAAGCAGGTATGTATTAACTAAGCAAACAAATTTACTATTTTTAAAGAAAGGAGTGATTTGCTCATCCAATCCCTAAGTACCTTTTCTCACTGATTGAGGAAAGGAAGTGAGTTTGATATGTTTCCTATATAGTGCTGCACAAAGAAAACACTAGCTCACACATATTAATTACTTAAGTTTCATTAAGAAAGCTAGAGTAAGAGTTCTCTTCAGCTGGTTCAAAAACAGAAAATTGGAAGCAAAGATTAAGGCATATGATTTAATACAGGTCTGATTAGTAACGATGTACAATGTTGCAAATTGTTTGCTTACAACTTCCACATATCCACTCGTAGAAAGTGTTTGCTTATACTTTCAAGACACTTTTGAAAGTAAACAAGTATTCCTGAGGACTAGGTACTCATGAGCTACATCTGATAAATACAATACAGAATATAACATGGACTATATTCTCACAACAGAGGGATGTGCAAAAATGGGGTCCAGTAAGACTATATTATGAGGTGATGTTTCTGCTTATGTGAGGTTGTATAGCAAAGAGCTCCAAAAGAGAACAAAAATTAAACTAGCAGTTTGATGTAGGCTGACTCACATTTGGGGGAAAAAAGCCATCCATTTAATTAAAAAGCTGATGAAATTTGGATTGATAATACCTGAGCAGAAACTCTCTCTGTCCATTGTGATTTAGCTTGAGAAAACAGCAAATTCCATGTTAGGAAAAGGGCTGTGCAACGTATTCGACAGAGTTTCTTCATAAAGCCATCTCTGAAATGTTAGAATAGGCAGGCTCTTTGCCAAGCTTAGTCAGCTGCTTTAAAAATGCTCTCTGCACATGCACAGCCTCCTTGCTTCACTGGCGGTCCCAGCGGAAGCTTGGCCTGTGCATCCCTGCGTACGCAGCTGCAGCCAGCCATTGAAGCATGGCTTGTTCAACATATCAGAGGGGCTTCATTCACGCTAGCCTTTTAGAGACACTACTTCAGTTGCTTTGCACAGCCCTAATAAACAAAACTATAGGGTACCTTCTGATGGTTAACAATAGGTTAACTCCAATAATTTAATTTCACCATCAATTTAAAAGGAAACTTGGACCTGTCGTGAATTGACAGTATCTGAATATTAACTACTATAAAAAATGCCAAACTGAGTATTTCACAATAAACTAGTTTGTACATTGCTAGAATAGTGGAAATTTCTAAGGGGGGGGGAAACATCCAAAGATCAGGTCAATATATATCTCACCTTTCAACTTTATCACATTTGTTGTTTGCTAAATACAGAGCACTCATTTTAGTTGCCAGTCCTTTGAATTCTCTTGCAGACACACGTTAGTCTACATTATATAGACTAAGGGATCATATGCCTGATGGCCAGTTTGCAATTTGAGAATGCTCTCTTGAACTGTAGTACAGCAGTGTGTGTGTGAAAAGCAGAACAGCATCTTTCCAGACAGTGCAACACCAAGTGTATATACTTTTCCCCTACTTTATTGCCTCCCCCATCAACAGGAGAATGAAGCTAGAGAAGAGATCACAGTGGGGGAAAGCAGAGAGCTCCCCTTCCCACACACCTGAGCATCTACTAAGACAATGCGGCTTCCCCAGGGAGTGCCCCTTCAAAGCATTTCAGAGAGGTGGTTTCATCAAGAATGGCAAGTGAGAGTCCCAAAGAGCCATTCTTTTCCTAGTCATTCCTCAGCTTTCTTACTGGAACAAGGGTAGACCGTTAGAAGAGAACACTTTTAACTTTTCCTTGCCCACTTGTCCAGTGAACTAGGAAACAGCAATGGATATGGGGAGACCCAATGTTTCTAATATCTTGAGTGAACATACATGATGTTTGTTTTCCCAAATCCCACTTTGACTTAAAAGGTC